CTTCCCTTATGCAGTGTTTAAGTCCATAAACCTTCACCAGACTCATTCAATTGCCCATTGCGGTCACAACAAACAAACAACAACAAACAGTTAACTTTTCTTTTTAAATGTTAATTCCTGTTCCTTCTGCTGTTTTTATTTAGAAAATGTGAAATACTTAACTCAAAAGTATGTTTGAAAGAGAATTAAAGGTCCTATATTATGCAAAATAGATTCTTGTGAATTTTTTGCTATGTTAGAATGCGGTTATCTTTTCAAAAACATACCCAAAGTTGCATTTCGTTTTATTTACACATGTTTGAGTAACCCTTAATAGTCTGTGTACATCCCCAAAGCTCAAAATGCCTTGTTCCACCTTGTGATGTCATGTAGTGGTAGTTAAGAGCTACCTTTAATTTTTTTTCATTAGAAATTAGCAATTCCATTTTTGGGGGGCTGGGCCCTTTGAAGCCACAAGAATACATAATATGTGTTCTTTAAAGTAATGGGGGGGGAGTTGTGATTATTTAGTGCAACTTTACAGGCTGCTGAAACATTGATTTGCGCTCTTGGATGGCACTGTGACATTTTGATTGAATAATTTTACTGATTGACATCCTGCATTATTCATTGACTTGGGTGATTAGGTGCTTTTTGGTAATTAACCTTTTGGCTTGCATGGATAATTCTTCCCAAACAGTGGCGTTCCTTCATGGGAATCATTTTGTTTCAAGACAAAGCACTGATGAAGCGGACTTTGTTCCTTTGTTCTTTCAGGCCTTTTATGTCTGGAACAAATTAATCAAATACTTTTTATTCAATTGAACAGTACGGTAGTATGCAAATGTTAAATTACTGCTATTACATCATTCAAATGTAGTCCAAAAATTAGATCATTCTGAAACCCTTGTCAGTATCACTCTCCTGTACCCTTGATAATGTCATATAGCCAAGTCTATGTGTACTGTGTATATTTTATCACACATTTAAAAGGACAAAGCAAAGCAACATCATAGTAATCATGCACAAGTCTGGAAACTCAAAATGGATTCATTTAGATTTTCAGGAGCCTTTTGATCTAGTGATTCAAGTGTTCACAATTCAGTTTAGGTGTTTGATTTTCAACAAAAAAGAGGCTACGTTTATATGATGAAGGTCTAAACAGAAGACACAAAAGTGGTGTTGTGTCTTCACTTTTTATTCCACTTTTAGACGTGTTTTCGGGAGGAAATCTGCGTGCATACAGTGATGCAAAAGTGTGTGGAATTCGACTGGGTATGCATGCCATCTTTCTGTGTACTGTATGTATGTGACATAAATGCATACGCAACGTGAGCAGATCTGACCAGAGTTTTGCGTCTTGGGCAGTGTAGACGGAAACGCTACAGCGGAGTGTATTCAACTTTTCCACTCTGGAGGGTGGTTTCAGATTTTTTTCTTTTTTAAGCCTCAAAAACACCGTCACTGTCTAAACGAATTAGGCACTTCTGATCAAATATTTTCTCTTTTTAACGTGCAAGCATTCTCGTGTAAACAGACCCTTAATAGACTAGGGGTGGACAATTATTATGAGAAACAAAATATTGTGGAGAGCTAGGCTAAAATACTTAACTCAATTCTGCATAATATTAATTGTATTTCTTTATAAAAAGCAGAAAATAGCATTGTTTTGACAAGCTGGTAAGTCTGGTAAGAGTTTATGAAAAAGTGAGATTGCCTTACAAAAAATGTCATTAAAAAATACCTCTAAAATTAAAGTAATGCAGCTTTAGTCCATGCATGAGGTAAAATTATAAAATATGTTTATTTTGTAATTCCAGATTATCTTAAACAGGGCATTCAGAGTTAACCAAAGGGCTGTGGGTGGCCTGGGAGCTGCACAATGCCCAGGTCTGGACTAGAGTGTGACTAACTGAAAAACTGTTGGCTAATGTTAAAGACTTTTTTAACAGCACAACAGTCATCTCACCTGTTCCTACTAAATAATTTATTTCTGGTCAGATTGTGTTTAAATAAAGCTCAGATTAAAGTCTAATTTGAGTAACAGAGCTTCAGACAGAGCAGTGCCTTCATTTAGCATCACACCCCCAGGGAATGTTGATGACGTGCACCTGCAAAGTATCACTTGGTTGTGCAAAACAACTTCTTCCCATTGCCCAGTATGACAGCGACAGAGAATAAACTCGTATGTGCCAGTGGAGCCCGTCGGCAGTCGCCCCATGTCGCACTGTCTCTCCTGTTACTGTGCTGTAATCAAAAGGGAACTGCCTGAGTCTCACGGTGATGACACGCGCTGTCACTGGACTGACGACCAAGCACCTCTCGGCCTCTCTGCAGCACCGACTCTGTCACTGTTACACGTGAAGCTCAACTCAACCTGCACACGAGATCATTTTAGATACACAGGAAACATCATGAAATTGCAAGATGTTTTAAAACCAAATGGAGTTCACGTGTAAACTAGCGATTCATTCACCAACTCTGCATCAGTCTTTGGAATAAACTCAGACTAATCCTGGAAACAGACATGGACTAGACCAAGACTAAACCAGGACAGAATCAGTACAAAACCAGTGCAAAACCAGGAGTAAATCAGGAATAAACCAAGACTAAACCAGGACTAAACCAAGATTAAACCAGGAGTAAACCAGGACAAAACCAGAAAAAAAACAGGAATAAACCAGGGATAAACTAGGTCTAAACCAAGATTAAACCAAGATTAAACCAGGACTAAACCAGGGCTAAACCAGGACTAAATCAGGGCTAAACCTGGAGTAAACCATGTCTAAACCAGAACTAAACCAAAATGAGAACAAGACAAAACCAAGTCTACATCAGGACCAAACTGATCTCAAGCCAGGACTGAACAAGGACAAGTGTGAAAGCATTACCTTGACTGCTATTAAATCATATTTGCTGACAAAAATGTCTTTTAGTTTTGTGATATTTGCGAGAATCCGTACAAATCTCTATTACCTCACCAAATGCTATTTCTGTTTTTACGTCAGTGTACTTCTAAATCTCCCTGCAGGCCCTGGTAAAGTATCACTAATAATTCATCATCAAATATCATATTGTGCAGCCCTGGCACGGTTCATCTTCTGAAGTGGAAAATGTATTTGATTGGATTAGGATTAGGTAACAGTGTTCTCCTTCACTGATGTAATCCTCACTAAGAGTTTGATCTTGACTGTTAAAACTACACGATTCTGTCTTTTTGTCCTTGTTTGTTATTCATGTTCTCAGTATAACTTCAAAGAGCAAATATCAAAAGATTACACAAACGCGTCCTTGTGTATTGCTTTTGATGTGCTTGGACTGTTTAACGGTCTGATTATTTTATCTTAAAGGTCCACTGGATATATTTAACCTGTTTTATATTTCATGTTTTATCTTTGCCGGAAATGTTCCACAGTATGGCATTAAACTTATGCTACAAGACCAAAATCATCAGCTATGGAGAGGCAAACCTGCTCAATGTATGTTTTTCAATTGTTTTTGAGCAATAAAACTGCAATAAAATGGCATTATTGAAAAACTTTAAAGCAGTATTGTGGAACATTTCAAAGAAAGCAGTCACATCTCAGGTGAAACTATGGTGAAATTATGTTGCAAGCTCCCATAGTTTGTGAATTCTGTCCATTGACAAAGGCAATAAAACCTAATCTGAAAAAAAAAAGAGTATCCTATAGGGTAAATTGGGTTAGAGTTTGAGTTTGTATTTCTCAATTTTAAGGTGAACTGTGGTGGCTACGAGCAAAACTGTGAATTGAATTGCATTTGTTGTTTATCAGACTTTGTTCATAACAAGTTTTTCTTGCAAGCCTATCTTAAAGAAATGGAATTCCAGTCGAGGCCGGATATGGAATATTTGTAATATTGTATGTGAATCCCCACTGGTCCAGGACACTGAGGGCACTGCCTCCTACTGCTGTTGTCCATACTGTTTATAAACATAGACGCTTATTGTACATAGATCTACTGTTTGCACTGTCTGTGTTTTATTGTATTTTATTTTGAGTATTTTACTACATATTGTGTCTTAAAGGTGCACTATGTAACTTTTTGGTTGGGGTCCGTCACCTGCCTGTTTATGGAGATGTGGGAAAAGGGGGCAGATAACATAAGATTACTCTTTTTTTGGCTCCTTTTTATTCATTTCTTGTAAGTTTGATGTTGTAACACTGTTGATGTCTTTTTATACTTTATGAATGAAATAAATAAACTAATAAAAATAATAATAATGTCATTGCTCTGCCTGGAATGTTCCAAAGTATGACATTAATCACATCTACCTTACAATTATGAAATTACAGTTGGTTTTATATCTCAGAAATACCTAAAAAACAGACTGACTGTGAGCGGCGTTGCTCTCTCTCCACAGATCTGGCCTGTTACTTGGTCTAGTTTGTCCTCTATGAAGACAGAAAGGTTTAATGTCATACTGTGAAACATTCCAGACAAAAAAATAACATCTCCATGAAGAAAAGCATTTGACAGACCTTGCACTATAAAAATTACACAATGCACCTTTCCAATTACTCAAAGTATATTTTAAGCTTCTAGTTAAATTGTTGTACATCAAGTCTGTTTTTAGATAGTTGTACATCTTGGTTTTTGACTTTGCTTCGCAACACTGAAATGTCCCCATTGTGGAATGAAATAAAGGTCCTCTCATCTTCTCTTAGTGCAATATTTCCCCAAATGAAGCCACCTTATGTCTCAGAAGGGTCTAAAGTGTGTATCCACAAATGTATGCTGCAAATGCATCCCTCTCACTCATTGAAACCCACTTCTCATTCTCCTCTCCAATCTAAAGCTGTACGCCGATAATAGTGGTATTAGAGTGCTGTGCTGTGAGACCCAGTGCTTTATAGTCCCATCACAGCAAATGGAAGACTAATAAATTGTTGATGATACAGAAATCCACGGCTTGTCTCCTGGATCCTTTTATAGAAAGTAGGGCGGGCGATGTGATGTTAAAAACTTAAACCTAACCCTGCTTTGTTTGTGTGTTTCAGGCCAGTCCCGCGCCCATAATCGTCAACACAGACACATTGGAATCTGTACCTTACGTAAGTCCAGTATCTTAATTTTTCTTTATCTATTAGTCTTTTATCTTTAACTTTTCTCGTGGAGGGTCTGATACCTTATTGCCTTCTTTTTACTTTCCCTGGAATGTTCCATGGTATGACTTTAAACATATCCACATGTTTCTATTGCTCAAGAATACAATTCCTTCTGTGAATAGAGACGACTCTCCACAGATCTGACCTGTAGCACTGTGTAGGGTTATTTTCTTGTCTCTACGGAGATGTTGCTTTCTAGAATGTTCCACACTATGGCAATAAAGTTGTTCATTCCACTGGAGACAAGTAGAGTATGCCACTACTAGACCAAGCGGCAGGTCAGATCTGTGGAGAGAAGTTTCCACTCATAGTAAGAATTCATGATTTTGAGCAATAAAAACACCCAGAATTAAATAAATATGACAAAGACGCACATAATGCCCTACTGAGGAACATTTCAGGCAAAACATGAACATACTTAACTTTAATTTCTATTTTTTTCTTTCATTCACTTAAAACATAAAAGGAAATAGCGTCACATTAAGTTAGAAGTGTGAATAAAAAGGAGCAGAAAGAATTAAAAACATCCATGGAAACAACAGAAACAGAAAAGTTCCATAATATTTACACCACATTAAATCCCACCTGAATGAGACCCCCGTTAAAAGAGTTCTAAGCTTAGCACATGCTACGAAACGTGAAATGAAATACTACGTGCAACGTTTCAAAGCACAACTTATCTCTGTTAAACAAATGAGGTCGAGGTGATGAATTATTGATTTTTGTCATGAATAAAAAACTGCAAATTATAAAAATCTTTATCGCAGGCGGCGTTTCTCATCATAACAAACAAATGATGTGAATAAATATGAGTTTTTGTAAAAGAGGGAGGAGGCCATGGGGAGGTTCTGGGTTTCTACTTGTGAGATGTTGCACTGCGGTTGGTTCTGTTTACAAAAAACAGGCTTTGGCTTCTGGATAATGCGGATAAATAAAAACAGCTGAAGAACATCTGCTGAGAAAGGCAGTTTTGTACAAGCAGAGTTGGTAAAACATGAAATAAATCCACTGTTTTGTCTCTATCTGGGAGACAAATTGCAGTGAAATAAATAAGAAGGCTGAAATGTTGCTGCTATCATCAAAAGTAATCATTGTGGGCTAAGAGTTTCTGTTAACAAAAAAATAGACCCCGTAAAATTTTTTAACACATTTTCAGTGATTACAGAATCGATGTCAAATCTACATGATAAGAATTTTAATTTTAAGTCACAATTTAAATATTTTGGTTTATACATGTTTAGTTTTTTATTACAAGAGCTATTTTTTGATCTGTTATAATGTTTCCTCATCAAAAACATCTCTCAGGCTTTGTTTTGTTTCATTTACACATTTATCACACGATCCTTGCATTATTTAGTCTTCTTAGTTCTTCTCTCTAACAGAAAACACTCTGTTCCTCCTTGTGATGTCACGAGATGATACAGGAAGTACTCCACTGTGTTTTTAAATTCTATCCATACACCTTCACTAGAATAATTTGGATAATTTCAGCCTTGGAGCTAAAAGTAAAAGGAGCTGTTAACTTGAAAACTACCACTTCATGACATCACAAGGTGGACCAGAGCATTTTGAGCTTTGAAAATATTTTTGCCTGCCTACATTATTAAACACTCCAACTTATGTAAATGAAACAAAACATAACTTTGGATATGTTTTTGATGAGGTAAAACCATAACTTAAAGCCCACAAAAGTCAGTTTAGTGTAATATAGGACCTTTACAAATACTGTTTTCTAGCCAGAACCTTATTTTTGATGAGATTAACTCAAGGATAACTTTGTGTTATAAATCAGTTTTATTTAAGTTTTAATTTGTTATTTGTAGTAGCTGATTAGTGTTCCAAAACCACCCTAATTTTTACATTTTATTACATTGTGAAGTTAAACCTGTTGTCTTTTGCATCTAGTTTCTGAATAAATTTAGACTATTTTTGTTTAGAAACTTTTAAAGAGTGTATCTATATGTTCTTCTGTTCTTTCGTAGTCATGTGATTTCATGTTTAGGTAATAATAACACTGTCAGTCACAGTGAAGCCCACCTGGGAGTTTGGTGGTCTCGTTGCATATGCTCTGTGCTATTTCTGTATGAATATATAATGGAGGAAGTGCCTGATGATAATTAATCTTCTCAGTCAGAATACAGGAAAGTGTGTCTCTCTGCGTCCTGTGGCACCAGTGTTGATCAACTCTCCTCTCAATGGATTTATTTAGAAAGAATTGCCACTGTGATATTTAGGGCTGCAGTTTATGATTATTTTTGTATATTGACTAGTCAGAGATCATTGTCTTATTAGTTGACTAGTCAAACGATAATTTCTACTATATCTAGTAAACTGAGATTTGTTTAGCAAGGTAAAGGTTGAACTGTGTTGACCGAAGACTTCTAGATAGAGAATATTTACATAATTATTAACAAAGATCTGATTTATTTTTAAAATTTTGAAATAATAATGCTATCTAGTTTAGTTTAGTTTTTATTTGAAGGAACAAAGTACAGAGACATTAACTTCAAAAAACAGAGATGTCCTGCACCAGATTATAGCTAAACAGATACAGTAGTTTTTATTTGCAGTCCCTGATTTATAGAAATAATTGATACTATGCAATTATTGTTAACATTAAGAACAATTCACACAGTCCACTCTCTGATCCATACACACTCACACATCAACAAAGCATTATAAAATCATAGGTTTCATTTTATATTTGGCATGTCTTTGGTATAATCCAAATTAAGAAGGGAAAAAACGACTACAGTTAGTTTAAAAGTCAACTACTCATTATTATTCCAATTAGGGCTGGGCGATATGGATCAAAAAATATATCTCGATATATTTTGCTATATCTCGATATACGATATATATCTCGATATATGTTCAAGAAAAAATAACCCCCTAAAACTGAAAACTGCTAAAATAAATTTCTGTTATCCAAACCAGAACCATAACCATGAGCTCCTTTAATAGAGGAAACTCAGGATGTTCCTTATTTTAATAGATCCATGTTATTATCCAGCAGTAAGGAGCTCTGAGGTTAAATCCCACAATCCACTGCAGATCAAACCCAACGTTTCCAAACACTATTTTACAAGTGACACTGCAGCAGATTATTAATTAAAATATTCTGCATAAATAAACTTTACATTGCTAAACTTTACAAGATATAAAGGATAACGACTATAGAGCCACATCAGCCCGTTTGCGATAATAATGTGTTTAATGCAGTTCTGCGCACGTGTGTTTACATTTTACAGAAACGAAACTTAAGCGCATGGCTCATTTGCATAAACAGCGCACTTCTCACGCAGCTCAGCTCGTTTAGCTTCTTTCGGGCTAAAGGACGCGACTCGGTGGAATATGAGGATGTGCTGCTGATGGTTTTGTTTGTAAAGGGAGGAAAAAGTTTGTGGTGCTTAAAGCTTTTCACTGGCACCAACTTTCGGCGTTCACGGCGACAGTGAGGAGTGAAGGAGACACAAGCGAACAAAATCAGGGAGGCGAGGCCGCGCGGAGGTGACGAGAGAGAAGGTAAACAAGCGAAGCGGCCAAATCAAAATTGCATACAAGCATTATATCGTTATATACGATATGTCAGAATTCATATCGTTTAAAAACTCGATATATTTAAAATATCGATATATCGCCCACCCATAATTCCAATTAATAGCAACTCTATTGTCATTCAAAATAAATTACTTTAGATTTAGCTTCTTGTGAAGTGGCAAAGGATAAAAGTGTGTGTATAATATGTGCTGACTTACTATTTGTTTTGTTTTTTTCTCAGGTCAACGGGACTGAAATCGAATATGAATTTGAGGAAATCACTCTTGAGAGGGTGAGTACTGCTGATCTAACTAATGCGTGTTCATAATGTGTGATAACTGCACGTCCATTGAGAGCCCTAAAATTGAATGCAAAGCCGCGATGGTGGGACCTGTAAGTGCTCCGCTGGCCCACAGAGGGTTACAGAAAGTGTCAGCTCAGCAAGACGCCTGCTATTGTACATCATTACAATGTACAATTACAATGGGGAAGGGTGCAGCTGTTCTGACCCGTCACAGTTTATTTTGTTAGTATTTTTTGTAAGTACTAATATGAGTACATGTTTTAAAAGTGCATTGTGTCTGGAATGTTTCACAGTATATTAAATTTATTTTATTAAACCTTTCTATCTTCATGGAGACGAAACCAGACCAAATTACAGGTTAGATTTGTGGAGAGGCAACCCTGCTCAGAGTAAGAATTAATGATTTTTTAGGTATTTTTGAGCTTTAAAACCACCTGTAATTGAATAAATGGAAGGTAGAGCTGTTTAATGTCATACTGTGGAGCATTCCAGGGAGAGCACTGACACATCTGTAGAAAAAAGCAGGTGACAGACCAACCAAACCAACCAGATCAACCAAAAAGTTACATAGTGCACCTTTAATCATTGCCACTGAACATCCTCTCCAAACCACATTCTTTTACTGCCATAAGATTCACTAACAATTCATTTATTAACCACCTACCCCTCCCTGAGTATATCTACAGTATTTGTAAACTTGTATTCATTCTAGGCAATTTTTTTTTCTAATTTCAGTCTAAAATAAATATCTTGGTGGGATTAGAATGCACCCGTTGCCAAGCTCACAATCATAATTTTGATTGTTAGCACGGCACCCCATTGTTCTAGTTAATAAACTCACCCACCTCTGCATTTTCCACTAGTGTCCTAAAGCTCTGAATTCCTTGCAGCCTGATAAAATATGACCACAGCCATTTTGTGTAGCCTGAAAGCACAGGCCGGCGCAGTGTCTTCACCGTCTCCAGAGAGAGGAGCAATTTTCAATCCGATGTTTGAGGCAGTGAAGAGCCAGAGGGAAGCTCGCTAGACATTGTAATCAGGCGGAGCTGCGGATCACATCAGAAAAAGACTTCATCAGGGCCCAGCTTTCATTTGGAGAAAAGAGAGAGAGAGGATTATATTTGCCTTAAAGGACAGCGGACATTTCTGACCGGAAAAAGTTTTCTCTGAGTAAAAACCAAATTCACAAATACAAGATCAAACTATTCTCTGTTCTGTTATTGCCTCTAATGCTCCACAGTATGGCATTAAACGTGTCTATCTTTGTGGAGACAGATGGGGTACTATTAGAAGTTACAGGTCAGATCTATGGACAGAAGTTCACTCTCACACTAAGAATGTTTTTCAAGGTAAAATTAATAAATAAAAACTAAAAACACATGGAATTCAATCAGTTCAAGCTCTACTGTGGAACATTTCAGGCAAAGCTGTAATTCATCGTACATCGTTCATTCGCAGAATCTAAACTACTAAAAAGTTACATAGTGTGCCTTTAAACAGACAATCGAGATCTCAGTTGCATTAAATCCCAACTAAATGAGGACCCATGAAAATTATAATGGATCTTTTACATGCTTAAAAACAGATGGAGCTGCAGTTCCCATCATCTAACAGCTTCATCAGACCAAAGCTTTCATTTGGAGAGAGGATTATTTGCCTTAAAGACCAGTGGCTTTTTTTGACCTGAAAAAGTTTCCTCTGAGTAAAATCCACAAATATAAGCTTAGACGAGCCTCTATTCCAGGTACTGTGCACTTTGGTAATTGCAAGGGGAAGAATACATTAGAATACATTACCAAATTGCTGATGTCAAAAAATGTCCTAAACATACGGATGTAGTGCAGTATTTGACATTGGACAGTTCTGAGAATGGGACGGTATGACATTTACGCAATATGATGGATAAACCAACAATACTGCAATATGACGATGTACCATGTCTTGTATTTTGTTAGGTTTAACAAAAACAAGATACTTATTAATCAAAAAGTGTTATATTTCTTCTTCTTAATATTTCCTACATTGCTGTTTAGAGCAACAATCAGGGTAAAACAAGTAGCCTACAGTTAATGTGTCTGTAACCTGTGAGAGGCGTAAATTAGAGATTGACTTTTTATGGGTGATGCTGATATGATTGTTTTGAACCCAGAGAAACCAATGTGTCACGTTTAGAGCAGAAGTAGGACCCAAAATGCAAGACTGCATTTCTGAAGTTGTTTAATAAAACAAAGAACAACCCAACACCAAAATCCAAACAGACGTGAAACTGATAATGACAATTGAACCAACAAAGACACTTTAGGGTGGGGCAAACAATCAATACAGCAGGAAGTAAAACTAGAAACACACACACGACTAGAGAAATATATATAAAACCTGGTCAAGAATAATAAAATAATTCAATGAAAATTAACACCATGACACAATGGCTGATAAGCTCTGCAAATATTTTTGAGGCGATAAGGAGGGCAGATTATGAGTATATTCTCCAAAGTATATGATTTCAAATTACTATAAACTCACCCACAGCCCCTTTTTATGACCATTCTACAAGAAAGCTGTGTAGTCATGTTTGGTGTAGTTATCTCTTTGGATTTAAGTGTTCAAATAAACTTTATGTGTATTCTTTTGGGACCAAGGGAACCAAAACAAAATATCGGCCTGTGCTGGAGATTTAAAGCCAAGAGCAAAAAATTGCAAATTATATAATCCCTCATCAAAAACATACCTGGAGTTGTGTTTTGTTTCATTCACACGTTTGAGTAAGACTTTATTATTAGTCTGGCTTGTGCGAATGAAAGAAAAAACACAACTCCAGGCATGTTTTTGATGAGGAAACAACATTATAACATGGATGAGGAAATGGTGTAGTATGAGCCCTTTAAAATACTCTGTCTTCTGTCTGTAGGGGAATTCGGGGCTTGGCTTCAGTATCGCTGGGGGAACAGATAATCCTCACATCGGAGACGACCCCGGAATCTTCATCACAAAGATCATTCCTGGAGGAGCAGCAGCTGAGGACGGGCGGCTCAGGTTGGTCCCACTGTGGTTGTAAGAACTGCAGTTGAATATTGGAAATGATTAACTGAATATTTTACTGTTCATTCAAACCTACTTAGATGTACACAAAAAATATATAAATGGTAATAATAAATAAATTCTAAATAAGTAGCAATGATTTGGCTATCTGACTTTAGCTGACTTTTGACGATATACAGAGTGGCTTTCAACAATGCATTTAAACAGTGCAGGTAGGGTGACCAGATTTTTCAAAATCAAAATTGGGACACCCCCGGTTTGGAGCATTTGGTAATAATAAAATTGTGAAACAAGTGCATAATTTAGGAAAATCGTTATGTACTTGGCCAATTCCTGACTAACAGATGAGTCAGTATTGTCACATTTTCTTTGTGTTTTGGTCATTTTAAAGCATTTTTTCTGTATTTTACCCAAACAAGTGACAATTTATGCCTAGACTGATGGCAGGAATCAGATTGGTCAAAAACTGGGAGACCTGGGACATTGTATAAAACTGGGATAAATCAATGGTTTTGGATAAATCTGTTGGGCTCAAAACTGGGACTGTCCCAGGTAAATAGGGACATCTGGTCACCCTAAGTTTAGGTGTTGAATTTTTCTTAAAAAATGTGAATGTGACTAACTTGTTTAACAGCACAAATCAGCTCACCTTGTAGTTGTCAGTTCTTTACAGTCAGACTTGAGTGACAGTTTCAGACAGAGCAGTGCCTCCAGTGAGCCCAACATAACTTTCCACCGTGAAGTGGCAGAGCTACTCAGGTCTGCATTTTTATACAGGGCATTAATGAACTTTTTGGCAAAATATTCACCAGATACCATGGAGACACAATGCACGCCTTAGCAAACGGAAATAAATGCATTTTAAGATGGTGTGAAAATTCAAGAAAAAACACATTTTAGGAGGTCTGTGTTCAATGCAAACATTCATGGTCCTTTTTAGATGTTCAACAAAAAATGTGAGAGTGACTAATTGAAAAGTTGTTGGCTAATGCTGGCTTGTGACTGTAATATTATTTAAGGGGGCTTGTTTAATAGCACAAACGGTTCACTTGTGGTAGTTCCAGCCAAGTCAGTTCTTTCTGGTCAGATTGTGTTAAAATAAAGATCAGATTAAGTCTAACAAAGCCTCAGACAGAGCAGTGCGTACAGTTGACATCACACCCCCAGGGAATATTGAGCCATCAGCTGTAAAATATCAATAAACTAGTGAAACTTCATCATGAAACTTCATCAGCAGACATGAATACAGTATTGACAAGTATGGAATCCCAAGTTGAGTTGACCTTATAAACTTTATTTTCAATTAATTAAATGCATAAAACCGTTAACATAATTTCCTCTGGATAGTTTAAATTCTTATTCTACTTTCTCAAGGATTTCTCTTTAATTATAATCCATCTTGAATGATTTAACCCAGATGCCCTCTACAGTGCAGGACCTCATTGTGAGCTGATGCCCTGATAGCAGCAGCACCCAACCTAACATGAGCCTCAGCCTGTAACCGTCTTTATTAAACGCACAGATGTGTGGATACAGCTTCACATCCTCCTGCAGTTTATCAAGGAACAAGGACACAATGTGAGCTCGTTTATCACAGAGCGGTGAAGGGCTTTCTCAAGGGAAGCACGTGTCAGGTTTAGGATTACATGTGGGAATGCAGGGGGGCAGATTATAGATAAAAATGATAATATTGTGAAAGCTGTTTTAAAGATGTGCAAAATGTGAATATATAGTATGTTGTTAATAAGAAGAAATACTGCAAAAACACCTGATAAAAAACTAAAAGTCATCCAAATAAGAGTTTACATTTCTGTCTGCTTTATTTTTCAGTAATTTCACATTTGTCTGATACTTAAACCACAACTTGAAATCATGTTTTAACACAGATTGGTTGTACTGACATAATATTATCTGAATATCTATATAAGAATAATATCAGGGTATTGATTTGGGTCATTATTTACTCTTTTTATGGGAATTTGGTCAAGCAAAACAAGTATTGCCTTTATTGACTATTAAACATTATTGATACTCTGCAATGACATCACACAGGGGGTGTTACCCGTGCATTTCCATGGTGGAATGTTCAGCAGTAACCACGGTGGCACATATTAGCAAACGCAGCCATATAACTTAATCATTACTCTTTAGCAGTGCCTGTCAACACTGAACCAATAATGCAGAGAAAGGCTCTATTTTTCCTCAAGCCTGTAAAACTCATAAATGGAAAACACAAGTGAAAATGACCATGCATCTGTACATCATGAATAATGAATATAGTTTCTTATGTAATGTTTAGAGTGCAGAGTTTATTTCCAGGTTTTAGAATGTGATGAAGAGGTATATGAATTTTACACACCACTTCACAGGCACTGTACCTGATTTTTACAAGAAAGGCTAGCTGCAGTAGAGTATCCAGTGACAAAGAGCTATTGTTAATATTGTTAAGTTGGTTAAGGTCAGGATTTGGGTTTCGGGTTGATAATTGAGTATTATCCAAATTATTCACTGCAGTGAGTTCATAAACACATTTCATAACTTTCTGAGGCCATCAATGTAAAGCTATAAAATTAATATTTTTATATATATAGACTTAATATATCCAGAGAAACTTAATATATATATATGTATATATATAGAGTTCATAATGCACAAATAATTTATTGAGAATGACTAAGAATGAGTCTAATAACGAGCTTAGTAACTATTTAATTAAGCAGTTAGGGTATTAAGTAAGTTGTTTCTAAGCTTAAATCATTCTTCATGGCAATTTTGTGTATTATTAAAGGTCCTATATAACACAAAAGTGACTCTTGTGAGCTTTAAGCCATGTTTGATTATTGTTACCTCCTCAAAAATATACCTAGAGTTGTGTTTTGTTTTATTTTTGTGCCACCTTCTGATGTCATGAAGCGGTAGTTTTCAAGTTAACAGCAACTTTTTATCTTTTACTCAGTGGAGAATGGCAATTCCTGAGCTGAACTCATCTAAAATTATAAAATATACACGGTTTGTGTTTTAACGATCTGTGACTGAAACAAAACACAACTCTGGGTACGTTTCTGATGTGGGAACAACATTCTAACAGATCCGAAAATAGTGTAACATGGGCCCTTTTAAGTCTAATTAAGGCTAATCAAGGTGTAGTTATTACAAAGTGTCACCAAATGTTAGACGGGCCATTTGTAATTGACAGGAAAGTGGTTTATGAATTCAAATCAGAAGCCAAATGCCCCACTGCTTTGTTAAGTAAAAGGATTTCTGATATGATTTTTTTTCATATCATCATTAGCACGCTAACCCTTTTATGCCTTGGTGATGGATAATGCTAGTTTTGGTAGCCAGCCAGCCCTTGTTTTCCTGTTGGGAGCATTACTGTCAATCTGGCAAAGACTGCAGAGAAGTGAACCAAGCCTGAATCACACTTAAGTTAATTGATGGCCGCTCAGTCCACGGTGGGCAATGGGGCTAATGCATTATTTATGGAGGGGTCTAATCTGAGCTGGGACCAGGGCAGGTGTGATGGGGATTATGAAGCCAGACACACTTCCTGTCTCAGCATCGGGACAGTAAAGGCTCTAAGAATACTTAATGTACCCACTCCACTCAAGTAACTGCTGCCAGGGCTTTAAGTGCTCTCAAAGCTGCAGGTCGTCTGTAGAATAATACAAAATGTCTAGTGTCTTTTTTGTGTTTTCACATGTCAAATAAAACATGACAAAGGTCCTGTATTATGCAAAATTGACTCTTGGGAGTTTTAAAGCATGTTATAATGTTGTTACCTCCTCGAAAACATACAGAGTTGTGCTTTGTTTCATTCACACATGTTTGAATAGTCCTTTATTATTAGTCTGTTTACATCTCCAAAGCTCAAAGTGGTAGTGGAAGTGGTAGTTTCTAAATTAAGGGCGACCTTTTAGCTTTTGTCTTAGTAGAGATTGGAAATTCCAGAGCTGAAATTATCCAAATGATTCTAGTTGAAAGTGTTTGGAGTTTAAAAACACAGTGGAGTACAACATGGCATCACAAGGTGGAAAACTAGGAGCAAAACTCAGCCTAAGTATTGCAGATTTTGAGCATTAAACATGTGAGAATGAAACACAACTCCAGGTATGTTTTTGATGAGGAAACAACATTATAACATAGATAAGAAAACAGTGAAATATGGCTGCTTTAAATATTATCGGGCTATAAAGTGTTATGACGTTATGTGAAATGCTGCAATAGTCCTGATTATTCTGATTAATTGTCACAGTTCTATAGTTCTGTTTTGTTGCCAGGGTAATAAACAACAATAATACATATGGTAAAAGTCTTCTTCGTGCTACTATTTGTCATACACAGATTTTGCGCTCTGCTTCCCTCTAAATCCAGTGCAGCTTGTATGAGTGCGAGGGTCTCAGCTGGTCCCTGTGTGCCCCCCGGAGACCACCGTCCTTCAGATCCAGGCCGGGGATGTTTTGGTCTTCTGCTCGGGGGGGTTCAAACTGAGCCGATTTTATTTTTTTCCCCTTGTACCCACATGCATTCCCCCATCTACAGCCGTACACACAGTCTGCCTTTCTTTCTTTCGCGCAGATGTTAAGATGTTATTTTGAGAGCACGCTAAATGCTGATCTCGTGATTCACAGGTCACCACTGTGTGTAAACATGGTCCACTGCTGATGACTGCGCAGTGACATATGCAGATGTCCACAGGGAGAGTAAAAATAACATTCAAAGCTACAGTATGTAACATAATGCTACTACTCTTTGAACATTATTAAACATTCACGCAATGTTGTGAGTGTTCATGTTTGCGGCCTGTAAAGTGCAATCCATGGGTTCAAAGTGATGAAAATTAGGATGGTTGTCATAGAAATGAACCATATAAAACAAAAAAATCCAATCTTTTGAATATGAATGTGAGAAAAAAAAAAAAAAAGCTGTTACTCAAGTTAGACTTTAACTACAACAGGTGAGATGATTTATGCTGTTAAACAAGTCCCTCTTAAACACCATTACAGTCTTAAAATAGCCTTGCATAATAAAATAATTAGCCAACTAATTAAAAATATGCATGACTAACACTTTATCAAGAAATAAACTGGCCTAATGACGTGAAAGCTTATAGCCCCAGTCAAAAGCACATATTTTCAATTGTAATAATTGTATTTTCAGTCCAAATAAAAGTTGAGTGCCTCTAACATCATGTGACGTAAAAAAACAGTTGCAGATTTAGAGAAAGTGAAACAGTGTGAGATCAGCGCTGCACTTAATGATGAGTAATTATCCTCATCAGCTCATCTCCTCTTCCTCTTCAGGGTAAATGACTGCATCCTGCGGGTAAATGACGCTGACGTGTCTGAAGTGTCCCACAGTAAAGCCGTGGAGGCTCTGAAGGTGGCAGGCTCCATCGTGAGGCTCTATGTGAGGAGACGCAGGCCGATGCTCGAGACCATCCTCGAAATTAAACTCGTCAAAGGACCAAAAGGTATCATACCAGCTACTCTATTCAGTACATACTTAGGAATAGATTTTAAACTATGTTAAATAGGGGTGGGACGTCACAATTTCCACGAGACAAGATACGAGACTGTGCCCATGAGAACAAGACAATACAAAATTTTAATGTTAGTCCTAATATGCAAATCTTGTGCTTCAGTTTTCAATTTTGGCCTGAGAATTTTTTATATATTTAATTTAATATTTCAAATTTTGCCATTCTAGTAGTGCTTTTTGGAACTATAAGATTTAAGTCACCAAAATTTAACCCTTTTTGCCTAATCCAAATATAAACACATGGGGAAAAAAAATCTCACAAGCATTTTTACTCTCACTGGTCTTATGGTGATTTTGTGTCGTGGGATCTTGTGCCACGCGATCTTGTCCCATCCCTAATATTAAAGACAATACCACAGCGTTTGGGAATAAATACAGCTTGTTCCTGTTTAAACTTTCCAAAGCTGATAGATGCCATTTTATATCTGACAAACCTTGCGTTTTCCACACAGGGCTCGGCTTCAGTATTGCAGGTGGAGTGGGGAACCAGCACATTCCTGGAGATAACAGTATTTATGTGACAAAGATCATTGATGGAGGAGCAGCACAGAAAGACGGACGACTACAAGTTGGAGACCGGTTATTAATGGTCAGTAACATTACGTTTATAATATACTTCAAAGTGTAACTAAAATGTATGGTACCACACAAACCCTGCATATTTATATTCTGAGTTTTAGTTCTTCTCTCAAATAAAAAATACGCTGTTCCATTGTGTTTTAAAATCCATACACCTTCACTAGAATCATTTGGATAATTTCAGCTCTGATACTGCTCTACTGAGCTAAAGGTAAAAGGAGCTGTTTACTTGAAAACTCTCATTACGTGATATCATAAAGTGGAACAGAGCACTTTGAGCTTTCGAGATGTAGACACACAGAAGACTTTTAATTATAGAGTTACTCAGACATTTAAAGAAACAAAACTAAACTTCAAGTATGTTTTTGAAGAGGTAACAGCATTATAACACGGTTTAAAGAATTTTGTGTTAAATAGGACCTTTAATAAACTATTTGTTTATTATAACTCATGTATTTGTTAAATATAGTAAAACTGTAGTTATTATAAAATGTTTCAAAATGTATTTAAAACAGTGATAAAATAGAAATAAGTAGTTGTTTATGTATCAACTGATTTTTCCACATTACACATACCGACTGTAAATCCAGAAAAATAAAATAGTTTTTGTCTTTTTAAAACATTCAAATATATTCCAAGTGCACTTTCTATCAGCTGTTGGTGCAGACTGTGCATATACGGCTGTCAGCTCCTCCAGGGCACCTCAGGATAAAAACAAGCTGTTACTGTTTGTGAGAGCAATGCTGAGTCCAGGGACCAGCCTCTGTGCATCAACCGAGCAATGAGTTTGTAGCTGACAGTTCTCCTCCCATGTTTTCAATCAGAACAATGAACTGATGGAATTATATTACTGGAACTCTTTTACAGTTGAAGTAGTGGGCTGTTGCTGAAATATTTTCAGTACCTTTTTTGTCCAGAGGATGGCACCCTACTTAAGTCAATGCTTAATTAAATTACCTGGTAGTGTTGTGATCTCAGCTGAACACCATCTGTCCCAGTGCACGCTCAAACAGCAGAGATGCAGCACTGTTTAAGAAAGCACCGAGTAAACCGGAGCTGTCCTCTGTGCAGGTGAACAACTACAGTCTGGAGGAGGTCTCTCATGAAGAGGCCGTCGCCATTTTGAAAAACACGTCGGACGTTGTGTATTTAAAGGTGGGCAAACCCACCAATGTGTACCTATCAGATCCCTATGGGCCTCCTGATATCACACACTGTGAGTACACTGTTTTATTCTTATTTATTCATAAACTATTCAGTATCTTGATCTTGATAAAGTTGTGTAAATCATGTCTTCTTTCTTTCTTCTCAGCATTCTCTCCAGCCATGGAAAACCATATCTCGTCCCCCATCAACACGGGCACTCTGGAGTACAAGTCCGGCCTCCCCCCTATCTCCCCCGGCAGTTACTCCCCACTCCCTAAGCACTTACTCGGGGAAGAGGATATAAACAGGTTGGATGGTTTTTCCTTCTTACGGTAATTACCCTTCTCACCAAACTACTAGAACAACAGGTAGACGTGTCCCCTCCCTCCTGTGTCCCCCTGTAGTCCAAACTCACACTAACATTTAAAAAATACAGACTTGAAATTGTCATTTTTTCTTTGTATCATTTGTCAAACTTTGTATTGTTCTTTTGTCATGTTTAGATTACTTTGGTGAAGTAATACTTGTTGTGCTGTTCTTTCACCCTAAAAAAAGCCATTATTTTTCTCGCTGCCTGGGGCAACTCAGTCCCACACAATAGCACCATGATTAGGGTGAAAAGTTAAGAGACATGTTCTGTCCAAAGCAGAAATGGAAAAGCTAACTCGCTGTGGTAGCATCAGACTTTTGTTTTTGTGAAGAGAAGCAGCATCATTTTCCACATCATTATTTCTCTTCTTTTAGAAAAGTGTAGACATGTTTTTATTAGTTGGTGGGTAACCTCTGGACCTTTTACCATAGTTTTTGTGGCATTGTTGTTTTGTAATTTGCGATCATGGCATCTGAGAAATGAAACCAAACTGAGGCAGTTCTTGCTTTAGTACTTTTTCCTAAACACTGCCATCCACAGTGTGCTTCTTGGTTCTCTGTGCATGTGAAGTGCAATATAAAGCTTCACAATGCTAAAAGATAATGTTGAAACTAATTCATGCCACTGACACAATGAACTAAAACAAGATTATTCCAAAAATACTTACCGTACAATAATGTTCAAAACACGACTTGCAATAAATAAGTAGTAGTTTCATCGTATTTATAATGAGTCATAGAAGTTCTTTATTTAACCCTCTACGGCTCAAATCTTATCATAGTACAGAAAATAACTAGTACAAATAAGAAATACAGATGCATATAAATAAAAAAATAAAGTATAAATAATACAGATAATTACTGAGTGCTTCCAAAACTAATGCTCCATCTATCCTGAGTTAAACAGTCAGTAGATATAGTCATTGTTGTGCAGTATACGGCATACAGTATAACTCACTCAAGTACTTTGCGAGGTACTAACTCTTCAACAAATTTCAGAAATGATAAAATCCTCTTTGCGTTGTGGCTGTCATAGATTAGCTCATCACTGAAGCACAGACAAATACTTTGGTTTTCGCACAGCATTTGCCAAACAAACTGTGCGAATGGCGATAACAAAAGCTCATTTTGGAGAGTAACAGAGGAGCCTGTCTAAAGCTGTGTAGAGTGAAGGATTATGGGTCCATTCTCTTTGGAGTTAAGAGGTTTAGTATCTGCTCTGCTCCTCTAATGACCTCACAGATTAGCACTGTGCTAACGAACTGCACTCTGTCACTTCACCTGCAGGCGAACGCTACACAAAAGCCTATATGTGTAATAAGTACCACTTGTTTTTCTTCACTGTTTATTTATTCTTTTTGTATAGTTAGTAGTTTAGTTGTATAGTTTTTTTTATTGTTGTTTTTATATAGACAATCTGACTCTGGCTTCAATTAAGGCAATTTTGCACATCACACATTATTTCTGAGACAAACTTGATCATGTCTTGGTGAATTTTTGAGGTATTGATAAACTCACAGACCCACATGTATAGATTTTGAACTGAAAGTGGTCCAGTTTGAATTTTGCATTGATGACTACTATTTGCTAACCACATTTATGATCATTATCCCAGCTGCACTATACTGTAGTTGACAAAAAAATTCTTGGTCAACTAAAAATTGTATGTATTATGCTTTTTTCTGATCTACATTTTAATGTTTCTTCATCTAAAACATACCTGGAGTTGTGTTTTATTTCATTCACACATGTTTTTACACAGAAACCCTTCATATTTAGGCTGAGTTCTTCTTTCAAACAGCTTGTCATGTCATATCATAATAAAGTAAGTTCACTTAGTTCATTTAGATAATTTCAGCCCTGCCATTGCCAATCTCTGCTAAACAAAAGCTGTACTGTAGCTGTTAACTTTAATCACATCACAAGGTGGAACAGAGCATTTGAGCTTTGGATATGTAGACAGATGAATAATAAAAGATTACTCAAACACAACTCCAAGTATGTTTTTCAGGAGTTAAAACCATTCGAGTCATTTTTGTATAATATAGGACCCTTCAATCCTATAGTCTTAAAAGAATAATTAGTTGACTATCGTAATTAAAAATAGCTGATTAATAGACTAAACAATTAAAGGCAAACAGCCGTAACACGGGTAAATGAACTATTAACCCCCTTAAATGCCACCACTTCTGATTAATGAGGGCTGATTGTCAAAACTTCCCAAAGCAAAATTGCAAATTTATATACTCGCTGTGATGTTTTTCCAAGTTCACAGAGTAAAATTATGAATTATCCCCATGGCAACGGGCCAGCTGTGCAGTCTCCTCTCTGAATCTTAATAGCACCAGAGGGTCTCTCCAAGGTCACCGTTTGGCTCTGATGCAGTGTGAGTGTGAGGCTCATTTCAGCTCCACTCTGTTTGAATGATTCAGCAGGAGAGACCAAGCCAACTGTCCAGACCTGTCCCCAGCCGCCCCTCACAACCCACTCAGTCCCAAAGCTGGATATTAAACATGTAACAACCGCTACAATGGTCTTGTCTGATCAGTTTGGTGTTTTAGTAAAGTAATCTTTTATATGTTGGACAAGCTAGCGTTTTAATTTATACTCTGTGTCTCTGTGTCTCTGTCATTCAATCCCTTTTAAGGAATAGGAATTTATTTATGATTAAAATAGCAAAATAAAAACACAAGGATCATGTAGAGCGGGTTAAAGGGACAGTCCGGAATTTTGGACATAGGACGTCATTTCTTAGTTAGCCAGAGTGTTGGAGACATGTTGAGACACTTTTTTAAATATTCCATCCAGTCTTGTATTTGCAGAGGTCGCTGGTGCGAGGCTAGCGTGTGTCAATGGCCATAGTTTAGCCTGATTCATCAGCCGGTTTCACTTCATACACGTCTGACCGCAGCATGAGGATTCGTTCACTCAATGGTAGACAGGTACTTTTTTTCATGTAAGCAATCGCTGCTATTTGGGGCTAACTGGTATATTAAGCTTTTCACAAATCCTGTAGGAAGAAGGGCAATAACGCCTTTCCTCTTGATAAAACTCACCAAACATTCTCTTTGTTCTGGCTTTAAATCCTCAAACTCAGGAATCGTTGCCAACACTGAATGTATGGCTCTTCGCTGACTGGCTGGTGCCTGAACTCGCACTTCCAGGGTTTTTGCAAACTGTCTAGTGTATTCCGATTCCTGACCTAGTCGCTGGAGAGAAATGAAACTGAGACGGAGATACTAGGTGGCGCCAGCCTGGCAAGGCATAGATAGTCTGCCACTAAAAACAGTCTTAACCACTCCACAGTGCACCCGAGGCAAATCAGTTATTACTCCAGACTATCAATGTGAATGTCTGTGTCGAGAAAATAATTTTAGAAATAGAACTAATCTTGCATTTGAAGGATTTATGTCTGAGCAGCAGCAGCGAGTTGTGCTTCCTGATAGAAAGCTCGACAGCAGCAGACTGATATCACCTAGCACCTATCTTGCCGGCAAAGTAAAATTCCGCTGCTGCTGAGAAAATAGTCCCTCAACATGCGACGATTCATGCGATGCAAGGTTAGTTTTATATCAAACATTATTCTGTCAACACAGAAATTTACATCGCCTGGCATAATAATAGAGTTGCTTCGGTTGCTTTGTCGAGTGCATAAGACTGTTTTTAGTGGCAGGATAACTATGGCCATTGACATGCACTAGCCTAGCACCAGCGACCTCTGCAAATACAAGGACTAGATGGAATATTTTAAAAAGTGTCTCCACACGTCCCCAACACTCTGGCTCACTAGGAAATGAGGTCCTATGTCCAATATTCTGGACTGTCCATTTAATATTAAAATTTTATGTCCAAAATGACAAGGCTCAGCAATTACGGAGACAGGGTGACAGTTTTTCAATGTTAAGTCAATTGGAGTCAGAGTTGATGGAGCTGGAAGCGCGCCCATGTTCACTTCCTATTTGGATCACTGCAGCAATAGCTTTGTCCGTAATGGATAGGCTGTTATCATTGCTTTCTGATAGAAGTAGGCAAGATATTTTAATAATAAGATTTTAAGAGTTTAGTTAAATTTATCCTTTATTTGTCAGGGAATTAATCTTAAAAAGAAAGGATTATTTCGCTGTGGCTACTCTCCATCTGCAGTCCTTGAGCAGGTCCACACACACAAACTAAAAATTATATTCACTAACTTGACTCTTTATTAGCATTAGCTCTGCAAAATACAATAAAATGTCACAACTTCAAATATAATAGATGGTTTCCTAAAAATACCTGCAAAGACAAATTTTTAAAAATGATTATGTTTTAGTTGTGTGGTTTTGAAAGTGAACGGCCTTATACAGGAAAACTCTCGAATAGCAAATAAAGAGAGTTGATAAGAACTGGAAGCAAGACATATATAAGCAAATTTTAAGCAATTCCTAACAAATAGCAAAAAATAATATCTGTTTATCGTCATCAAGAGAATAAAAAAATGATCTAAACTAAATTATCTGGAAGTATTGAGTGTCTACCATTTCAAACATCATTCAAGAGAAAACTTCACCTCACTGTCGCCTTGAGACAGTCCCCCTATCTTCAATCTAAGATGCTGAGTGCATTTCTGAATATGATTAATGGCTCACCCTAGCTTGAAGGACGGCTAATATATTCAGTGAAGACGTGACAGTGAATAAGCCCACATAAAATCTCCCAAGCTCTTTATTTAAGACTTTATGGTCTCGATCTATCTCCTAAGATGCTCGGACTGTCATAGAAGGCCTCTGTGTGTAATTTAGTAGGTGTTGTTATCGTAGCCACTCTTTAAAGTGTTTTTTTGACAGGAGGTGGATGGGCAGGTCAACTTGTGAAACTGAAATATTGTGCAGAGTTATGTAAAAATAAACTTTCATAGTGTATTTGTATCTGCAACTTTATTAGTAGACCGTATAGTAGACTT